TGTTGGTGGCGGCGGGATGCGGATGATGTCTCTCATGTCGGCGTGCCATTTTAGGCTGTGTTGAGGATCTTCTTGTCGTGAAGTCGGCAGGCCTGTCCAGCGCTGGATTGTCTCCTTCCGGCGCTTTCCTCCGCGCGGGCAGACCCTTCGTCTTCAGGACCAGCCCGGGGGTCTTGCCCTGCTCTCTCTTGACTGGGCCTCCAGGTCACGTCGCGTTTGGCGTGTTCCGCGGTCGAACCATGCGGGAAGAAGTTGTGTAGGCGTCCGCGTTCCCATGATTCACGGGCTGCGAAGAGGGAAGAGGAGAGAAAGACTGTTGTTGAGTCTCCTCGTGCACGTGGATAAAACTGGTGGAGGGCCTTTTATTACATTACATAAACTAACCTTAACCTCCACTAGTCCGTGTCTAAAATAAAGGGTCACATCTCCATTATAAAAGCCACTCGTCGATCAGGTTAATTCAGTGTTATTTGTCTAGGTGCGTTTTAAGATTTAATGGAGTTCTTTGGTGGGAGCCACAGCAATGTAGGTAGGAAAAGAAGGATTCCACGGGACCTTCTACAGGAAGTAAACCAGAAATAACTAAAAAAAGTAAAAGATTATCTGGTAAAGTCTTCATTAGCAGACTGTCTTCTAAACTGCTTTTATCTACTTTTGCAGATGGCAATGTATTTTCTCATGTTCTTATTCCTATATGTTGGTTTGTATTAACTTTGATGTCAACTGTATCTACAGTATATTCTTCTTTAACTTGATATGAGGCATTCTCAGTTAATATATCGCACCGCACACTCACCAACAAACTAAGGATATAAGATCCGCGTATTTTCTTTCTGAATTATTCTTTACATTCCTGCACCGGTGTCAGGATTCAGCTCGGAATTACCTTCGAAATCAATGTAAAATTAATGTCGTTCTGAAACACTACCGCTTTTTTCCACAGCGGCTGCGCCATGAATCAACCACAAAAAAATTCCTTGCGTACAAAAAATCCCGCAGTCTGTAAAAGATACTAAATATATTCTGTCATTTAATGTAATAGTTCATACTTATAAAAACAAAATATCAAAAACTCAAAATACTATACTTCCTCGTACCTGGATTTCCGAATAATTGTATTGTATTTATGTATAATACTCTCTCTCTCCCCCCATTTCCTGTCACTCTTCAGCTGTCACTATCGATTAAAGGCACTAAAAGCCCAAAATAAAATCATATTTTGAAAAAGACAACAAGAACACTCAGTTCCACTTTATATGCCACTATGCTCTTCTACAACATTTTAACATCAGTGATAATCACGTGATATGTCTGTTACTACAATGAAATATTTAAAAACACTGGCAGTAAAATAGCTTGCATGTAACTTGTGCAGATTTCCAACCTAGCATAGCATTGTCCTGCATAAAATTGTATCTGAAGGAACATAAAAACCAGGTATAGTTCTATTGTTTGATGGTAAAATCCATAAACCTATTCCACCTAAAAACACAGTTATTTTCCAATTGTGGTCAAGGTAATCGAGAAAGAAGCTGCACAGCCCACAGGCATATTAACAAGGTGCATTTGACTGACCTTGTGTTCTAGCCTCTAAAGCAGCCCTGACTCACAGAGATTTTTGTATAATAAAATCTCAAATCTGCTACCGCACTATCAAATAATCACATAACATCTTAAAAAAAAAAAAAAAGACTAATGTCACATGCAGTGTCCCACCAAGCTTCCAACAAAAGAGTACTGAGCTCAGTTTTGACAGAAAAAAAACAGTCTTCAATAAGCATTGGCTGTAATAAAAATAGAGCATATTTATTGAGAGTCAGAGTGATTCAAAGCTGTAGCCTTGCCTATTTTGTGGTGGCCTTGAGAGAGAGAGTTTTTATGATTATGA